TTATCATACTCTCAAGTATATATAGTTAAATTTTCATGTTATTTAAATAAATATTTATAGAGAAAATTAAAATATCCAGTTTTTTTTGTTACGCACTGTAAATAATAAATATATAATATACTAATTATATTAATGATTATATAAAATTAATAATAATTAATAATATAATTACTTAAATAATAGTATTTTTAAAAGATATTTATTAATAAATAAATATAAAAATAAATAATTATAAATAATAAATATATAATATACTAATTATATTAATAAAATAAAAGTAAAAAGAATTTTTACTAAGAATATCTTTATAACTATAGTTAATTATATGTAATATATATGATATATAATATAGTAATGATATATAAATTAAATATTAATTTTATTATAAAATTATATTTTAATTATTAGTAATAACTTTAATAAAATTATTATAATAGATTTAATATTATTTGAAATTTCTAAAATAATTAATAAGTTTCAAAAAATATTTAATATTAATATATTAGCTTAATAAATAAAATTTTTTGTAATAAAATCTGGTAAATTAATTATTATTAAATTTTAAATTTTTAAAATCTTATTATAATATTATAAAAGTTATATTTTAAGTTTTTAAAATATTTAATTATAAGAAATACTAATAATTAATCTTATTACTTGAATAAATATTCCTATTAGAATTAAATTTGTTGATATTATACTTTTTAATAGTACTATTATTTGAAATATTCAAAGTTTAATTTAATATTAAAAAAAGAAATTCTTAGAAATAAAACTATAAATAGAAAGTAAATATTTAAAAATATTATTATAAACTAATAATTTGATTTTCTTGATTTATTATAAAGCTTTATATCATATATATATATATTTGAAATATCTAATTTTTATATTTTATATTTCAAAAAGTAGTACTTTAACTTGTAACTATTTTATAAAATATTAATCTATAAAGATATCTCTATATAAATATACTTATATTCAGAAAGTAACTTAAAACATATATAGTAATATGTAAAATTCAATATATTTTTATATTATTAGAGAAAGTCCAAGAATGTTAAATAGTAAAGTATGATATATTTGATAGTTCTGATACTATTTTTTTTTGTTATTAGATAAATTCTAATAAAACTATAAGAAAAATATAATATTATTATAATTCAAAGATCAAGCAAGATAAAAAAGAATTCTTTATATATTTGATCTATAACAATTATTGGAGAATCTTACATTGCATCACCATTAGGAACTTAGAATAAAATCTTGAAGCAAACTGATAATAGCTTCATGCGCCGGATTAGCTATATTAATAATAAAAATATTTTCATTATCAAAATGAAATTTATATTCGCTTGACTCATTCTGATCAAGAAAAGTATATAGTTTTTCAATGAAGCTTTTGATCCATTTTGAAAGGGAAAACTGAAAATTATACAAGTTAATATTAATCAGAACTCGAAGAAATATCATGTTTCACACTCACTTTCCTTTTGCTAAGGAAAAATTTGGCAGTTTGGGATAGTTATGGACTATATTATCAATTCTATTTATATATACATGTATAAATTACCGATTAAAGACATGTATTAAAAAAAATTAAAAATCATTTCAGATTATCGCTATATCTGATTTGTCTAATCGTTGACCTTTATTATATTCTTTTCCTTCTGCTATATCCATAAATACTTTATTGCTTTTAATAGCGAAAAAATCTAATACATTATATTAGTATATCGAGAAAATTCTTTGCATATATTCATAAATGACTACAATAACAAACATTAACAAAAGAATTCTGGTTATATCTGATAAATATAAATCAAAAAAACTAATAGATGAAAATTTAGGACTATTATTATCGCAACAACATTAAGTTCGTCGTTCTTGTAATAAATTTATAATTCCTTTGCCTTTTTGCGTATAGGTATCTACCCAACATGTCTCAAGTTTATAAATAGAGTAGCTGAGTTAATATCTTTTAAGCAAAAACAAAGATTGATTATTCTTTGCTTCGTTGTACTAATACTTAAGATACTTTAAATCGCGTCTATCGTGCCTCATAAAATACTTCCCGGCTGACGTACAGATATATAAATGGTGCATATTTATAGCAATGAACTAGCGCTAGTGTTACGCCGCCTTACTTTAAATGATGTAACTATGATTAGGAGTATTAGACTGAATAATTTACCATTCGTGTTTCCCGGGATTTTAAAGTCACGAGTTTTATGGGCTGGGTTGACAGATGATTTTGAGAAATTTAAGGATGCGATACACACAAAACTATATAAAAGTAAACTTTTGGTACTCACAACATATAATAAAATTCATTCTCTCACTCATTCACATTTTGATTCAAATAAATAATAGATAGTAGCAAATTCTATGACACTAAGTACTTGATTGGGCCCACAATCACCTGGCCCTAACCCAATTGAGCACAAAATAGACCGATGTTGAGGTCATCCACAATAATTCATAACTCAAAGGTTAACTTTTATTGAAATCGTAAATATAAATTTTTAAACCAAATGGTTCAGTCAACTTTTGTGTTCTCAGTTGGAATATTGGATCATAAGTGCGAATTTTGATGTTAAAAATTATACTATCCTCGCTCGCTCTGTTGAAGTATGGCAAATGCGATTATTAACTTTTCTTTAAAAGTTTCGTTTCGACGTTGCATTATTAAGCTTTTATTATTCTTGATAAAAGATCATCTACATGTATCAAACACTAGCGTCAATTACTCTACACGTATATAACAATTAATACATGTACATGTATAAAAAGCCTCTTGGTTGCCGGGTCATATATTAATGTTCTAATGTTTATGAAACAAAACAATTATTTTGCATGGTCTTAGTTAAAAAATATTTATTTTTGCACAATCTGAAATACTTCATAATCATCAATCTCAAAAGTAACAATACAATTATCAGAGATCAGCAAACCATGATCATATGAATGTTTTCTACAGTAATTAACACTATTAGGATCGAGTAAGACCAAATCATGTCCGCCTCCAAATATTGGCCCATATCCATGAAAACATCTTATATTATTCGTCGCAATACATTTACTTAAAAGTCCATCGGATTCATTTGGATCAAATTGGAACAAAAAGCTATTTTGTCCATCATAACCTTTGTTGTTTGAATTCCATTCCAATGGATTATATCCACCAATTATTTTTTCCGAATCTTTAACTCGAATGGTAACAACTGTTGGTCCTTTGTTATCACAAAGTCGATGAAAATCAGCGGCAGATAATCCATCTCGACTACCTCGTAACAATAACTTTAAATCGAATGAATTCATTTTTGTATCTTGCGACTTTATCCATTCCCTTATTTTTTGTAATTGATTTCGGGTAAGTATCATGGAGTTATCAGACTTATCAGAATTACGAATAGGGTGTTTATTAGCTTGAAAATCTTCACTTCCCGGAACCAAGTAATGATGTAATAAATCCTTGTATAATTTGACTGATAAGAGTTCCGAATAAGGCATTACTTTATTGTAAAAATCAACAGAGTTTACATGAAAGAAACGAATCAACGGTAAACATTGTTTAAGCGTGAATTTTAACTGTGTAAATTCGTTTTGTGTCCATTTCTCTACTGGGATCGAAAAATCAACATTCTCAAAATTGGAGTCTTGAGAAATTCCCCATTCAAGAACCTTCGCCCATATATCGATTTCTTGAAGATTCAAATCATCGCGTCTGAGCAAAGAAATCAGTGCAGTCTCTTGCAGTTTTGTAAAATCATTCGATTGAAAAACAGCGGCAGGATTTTTACATGCAATATCCGTGCAAAATTTGTGAAGCTTTGTGAAAGTATTGTGTTCGAATACAATTTGATTAATTAAGGCAAAATTTTCTGTCATAGAAACGATATGATGCTCCAAAAGAAAGTCTTGAATATATTCAATTAGATCATTAAGCATCAACTCATCTACAGCAATCAATAAGTCCAAAAGCGTCGGTACTCCATGTTCATTCAAGTTAATTTTGTCGCAGTACATATGTCTAACACATCATAAAATAAACTTAATTTATTTGTCTTGTTTATTGAATATTAACATAGTTAATTTACCTCTATAAGGTTTCAAATACACATGGTGAGATATTTGGTTTCTTAAAAACGATCATTTTTCGCTTCACCCACGCATCAGAAAGTGCTACAGCAAAATATTATGGCTGCGCCATTAAAATTGATGAATGTGCGGTAAAGGTGCGCTGTGCCTGTCCATCACCAGAAATTATTGAAATATCGCAAAATTGCACTTTTCATAAAATTCGGCTAGCTTGTTCGAATGTGAAGTCAATAGTGAGTCGGTAGTCATTTATTAAGATATGATATAGTGCATAGAATAATGAAAAATTGCCTGATAATTTAGATATATCTTCTTTTTAACCTGTAAACAAGTTTGATTAAAATATTTTACAGAATTATTATTAATTATTATTACACATTTCTCAATAAAATTTATTGTAAGAAAATAAGCCAGATCCAACAAAAATTGAGCTTATATTATTAAAAATAATATTAGGTAATCATAATTCTGACATTTTTTTCATTAAATAATCAATAAAGATATAAAGTTAGCTACATATATGTTGTTTTTAGTTTTTTATAATTTAATGGTATTTTTTAATAAGATATTAATATGTCTTAAGTAACTTTGTTCTAACATATATTTGAAAAATTTCACGAAATTCTATTCATTCTTTATCATATAATTGATATACAAATTAAAAATTCCCCGAATCTTTACGATGGCAGAATCGGATCGACCACAGAATACAATCTAGACACAAATAAATTCAGGATGCTGAACCTGGAAACGAACACTTTTTGTTGGTTCGGCTGGAACGTTTTCGTAAACAGAATACTAGTCGAGACGGCGGATGATCAGAAAAATGTTAGAGCGAAAGATAGGTATTCAAAAATTCTATTTTTTCACCGTGTTCGGGATGATTCGTGTAATTTGTTAGAGTTGGAACATAATTTGGATGCCGCTCGATAGTATAATACAATGATTCGTGAGTAGAGTACTTAAAATATATTAACAATTTTCTTCAGCTTAACTAATTAATTCTTGATAATTTTAAGATTGCCAGATGGGGAAAATACAAAGTTGCAGATTTGCAAATAAATAATCCTACTTATGAGTTTTACCCAGAAGTTGGACAAAAATCTTTTCATTTCTTGTCAACACGTAAGTTTTTCTTCTGTACCCTTACAATGCAATACAAAATAGATCGATTCACAATAAATCAAGATCTACTCCCTTTCAACCTATATCCAATAGCACACGTATTTCCCGCTTGCAGCAACACAATCTTCATATTCGCCAGCACAAAATCAATCTTATACCGGAAACGTGATCAAAAGCTTATTCGATATCCCAGGGTTCCCGAGATCATACTCGCTCACCGGATCATCGGTAATGCTTCCGCTGATATATGAGAACAATTATCGACCGGAGATTTTGATTTGTGATGGTGGCACAAAAATGAAACGAACCGCCCGAGTGGTATTTTAGTGGGTTTCCGAAGGTTATGCCGGATGCTGTTATTTTGACGGATAGAATTGTTCTGTTTATTAATGGTACTGTTCGTGGATATGGTAAGTTGATAGAAAAACATCAATGCGCTCTTAAACCAAAATTAATTATTCATGAATTTAAATTTTAATTGATTCATAATCAGATAAAATTCAAAACATCAATCCAGTAAAAACCCAGCACTCTTATGACCGAATAAAGAAAAAGGCTCAGAATGGACTGTATTCACCTATCGGAAATTTCACGAGTTTACCATTCGGTCGCCATATTAGTTGATATGTCAGTGTGAACGATTACCAATGTCTACAAGTATATTTCCCACAAATACATGTACAGTACATTTACATATATTGAAATCATCAATTATGTTATAGATACCGAGCTGAAAGATTCTATTCACCAGCGATACGTGAAACTTCGGACATAAGAAAAGCCATGATATCAAAGTACACGATACCGTGGAGACACCGCCGAATTCTAATATTATTGCTCCGGACCCGAGTTATCATTTTACGTTGAGTAATGGTGTGTCGGCTTAAATGAGTGTTCAAGTTTTGCTGGAAGTGAACAGTTCGTCATAATATTAATTATTAATTATTTATTTCCATTTAAGTGAGATTTTGTTCAAGTGTTACGGGACTATACTAACATTAGTGTAATTTTTCATTTATACATAGGCGTACAGAATTAAGAAAATCGATATATGGCTAGTGATATGAGTCGAAACATCAATAGACGACTTAGTTAGTCTATTTCTAGACAAATCAACTTAGTCAAACTCAATAGTTTTATTTCCAAATATAGAAAGAGTCAGAGTGCGGTTTTGACTGACAAGATTTAGAAGTATTACAAAAGCAGACTAGTCGAAAAGTCGATTTCCAAATGTTTAGTCGAGTTAATTTTTGAGAGCAACTTGGATTACTATTGATTATAAATCAATTGCATGTGAAAATCAAAGTAATAGTACTATTCATTACGCGTCCTTGAAGATACACGTACTTCTCTAATGAAATCAATAAAAGGGAAACAAAAAGAAAACACTTTTATTTTTATAAAGATGCTACAAAGACTTGCGATAAAGAGAATAATTCTTCGTCAATTATTCATCAGATGAAGCATCGGAAAAAAGTACTATAATTGATGAAAACATTGAAGCCTATGATAATGACGAAATGAAGAAGTTGGACCATTACCATCTTCTCTTCATAATTAACATTCACAAATTAAAACATCAGTATCATCAACTGTTTCATCATCAGCATTAACTTCTAAAAGAAAACTCAAATTCACTGTGCTACATGATAAAAAAGTCAAACCTGGATATGAAACTATATATGACGTGACAAAATTACAAAAATCAAATATTCTTTGGTTGAGATCATAGAAGATGATGATTCAATTACAATATATAGTGTAATATTCAAACCTATAGCATCAACTACAAGTATAGCAGCACATTTACATATTCCACATCAAATTTTCAAGAATCAAAAATGGTTATCATCAACAACTTTAATTGAAAATTCATCAAATTTTAATTCTACAAGGTCACAATAAACTGTTAATATAAGATTTGAACAACAGATTAATAATATTCAACCTTTTTCAGAAAAAAACTCAAATAACTTACTATTTGATAGCCTGGTTGGTAAAAGCAATGATGATCTTAGAATATATCAATCATGTTCATTTTCATAATTTTTGTTATAAGCTCAGTTCACGATTTCAAAACTCCATATATCAGTAATATCAAAAACAAGATTGTTGAATTAGTATGTTTTTCAAAATCAACACTCAAAGAAATGATATATCAAATCATGAATTTAGCATGTGTTACAACAGATCTGTAAACTCAAAATTATACATTTTATATTGGTAAAACAGTTCATTAGCTTAGTGAAGATTTTATAATACATCAAGCATTACTCATAATTGAGTATTTTACATATCTACATGCAAGTGATCATATTAAAAATTTGTCTGTGTAAAACTTTTGGAAATGAAATATATCTGAAAAAGTAATTATAGCTATAACTAATAATGCATCCTCAACAATTAAAACAATTTGACAATTAGATGTTATTCATTTAAGCTATGCAGCATATTCAATTCATCTTGCAATTACTAGCAGCTTAACAGAAGGTGCAGATCTAATAGAGAGTGTAAAATTAATTAACAATTTCTTGGTTAATTACGATAAATATTGATTCTGTTTTCAAAAAGTTCAAAATGAGATATTGACTTCTAATTCATCAAATCAAACCGGTAATATATTGGAATCTATATCAAGTAACACAGCAACTTGATGGAACTCTAATTATTTGCTTCTTCAATGTCTTCATGATATAATCTTAGTATTAGCCGACAATTTAATCAAGAATCCTGATAAGCAATTTGTAAAGATGATGATGATCTAAAATCAAAAATTATTTCAGATGAAGATTGAAAAGAGTTAGAAGAATTATCAGCACGAGTATCAGTATATATAGATGGTAGCCAGTATCGAATACTGAGTATTGACGTATTAATTATACACCATCTTTGCAAACATCTTGATCAAATAGAGAATCAACTTACTCATTTATCAGATATTCAAATGCATCAATATCTTCAGGAATCAATGTTAGCTCACTGGGAAAGATCCAAAAATATTTGAATGGCTTGCAACAATTTTAAATCCTTAACTGCTGCATCATCTAATATGCGAAATCAAGTTATTCAAGAATTGCGTAAAAGAATCAACCGCTTAATGGAATCATCAAGCAATAACTTATCAGATATAACAATTTTACTACATCATATATAGCATTATTTTTTGATGATGAGGTTGAATCTTCTTCACCAGTTGATGTAGAGCTGTAAAATATATATTTTTCAATTCCACTATGAGCTTACAGATCCTTTTTACAAGAAACACAATCTTTTAACATGGTAGAAAGAGCATCGAAATACACTACCTTTCTTACTGAACAAGCACAAATTTTTTTAGGAATTCCAGCGACTTCTGTACCTTTTGAATGACTTTTTTCTGATACGAAAAATATTATAACTGGGAGATGTAATCGTTTGAACATTAATATGGTCCATGATTTGTTGTTCCTTAAGGAAAACTCCTCTTTATGAATGTTTATAATGATTTATAGAAAAAATACTGCTTTGAGATGGTCTGCCAACTTGAAATTTTTTTTAATAGATATAGTAATATAATAGGCATTATTTTGATCTTTTTGATTTTTGAATAAACTGATTTGGTAGTTTTCTTTTTATTAAAAGTCTCGTTAGAGAAATGGTGGGAAAATTTAATCCGCACATTCAGATGATCTATTTTGTATGACATGACCAATTTCCAAATTAGGAAATATATTCCAGAGTCAACTAAGTTGCTCAAGTTGATTTTTTAAAAATCGGTTTAGTCGAGTTGATAATTTTGTATCGACTTGGAACACGTACCTAATTTCGTCTCAATCCCCTAAAATGAATATCTCTACTATTTAATGTCAGTTGATGTTTATTTAATAATTATGAAACATGAATTTCTAATAGTATTTGAAACTTTTGTTGATATTTCTTGTGTATTATGCTCTAATCTTTTCTTACCAGACTTTAATGTAACTAGTGTAGAAATTGTAAAAGTCGCCAATTTCAAATGCATAAAAAGGCCTTGCTAAAACATGCTCTAATCAAATAAAAATTAATAAAAATACACTATTATTCCTTTGATTATTTTCAAACCTTGTGTACAAATAGTGGATGCTCCTCCACTCTAAATTGATTATTATTTTTGATTGTTTTTGCTAATTTTGATGTATTATTGTTAATAATGAATCATAATTTAATAAAAAATTGCTTAAAAATAACAATGAATAAATTTATATTTAAGTATGAAATACCGATGCATGTAGCAACAAATTTGCACAGCTTTTTAGCACCACGTGGTAATACATGCTTTTTTTGATGATGAAATTTGGTTTTAAAAGTTTCTGCTGGAAAAAAATAACATTTTTGACGATTCAAGTAAAATATCTATTAAATCTTTGACAGTACAAAACACTAATCAACAGACACTTATTATACTCATTTAGGGTTGCTATATATTCGGGTTTTTGCGAGTTACAATTTGACAAATGTTAACAGCCAGTCTTAAAGAATGTATCACAGCATTTTTCTTAATTGCTGATTATAATTAAGCGTTTCATCATTTTTAAGATAAAGATTTATAAATTAATATTTAATGAATAACATTTGTAAACGAAGAAATTTTGTTAAAATAAAATAAAACTAAACTAAAACTCTTTTTGCAAAATTTGAAATACTTCATAATCATCAACCTCAAAAGTAATTTTTGTACCATCTGAACTCAATAGAGCGTGTTCATATGAAGAACTTTTACAATAACTACCAAAAAGTGGAACAAATAAACCTAAATCAAAGCCATTTCCAAAAGTTGGTCCAGTTGCCTTATTACAACAAATACTATGTCTTTTATCTTTAATTTTACTTACAGATCCATCGGATTCATTCGAGTCAAATTGAAACAAAAAGCTATTTTGTGTCTCATAATATCCATAGACATCTGACTTCCATTCCAATGGATTATATCCACCAATTATTTTTTTCGAATCTTTAACTTTAATCGCGATTACTGTTGGACCCACGTTATCACAAAGTCGATGAAAATCAGCTGCGGTTAATCCATCTCGACTGCCTCGTAACAATAGCTTTAAATCAAATGGTTGGGTTAATTTTGTAGCGTGCAACTTTATCCATTCATTTATTTTATTAATTTGTTTTCGTGTAAGTATTGTGGAGTCAACGTTAATTGAATTTCGAATAGGATGTTTGTTAGCTTGAAGATCTTCGCTTCCTGGAACCAAATAATGATGCAATAAATC